AGGAAGAGCTAAGGACTGAGATTGTCCAGGTGTTGACCAGGTATAAATCATTATTTGCCTGGAGTGTTGCTGATATGCCCGGGATTGACCGGTCAGTCATTTGCCATCGTCTCTCTGTTCTTGAGGGGTCTAGGCCTGTAAGACAGAAGAAGAGATTTTTGGCAAGTGATAGGAGGGACTTTGTGAAGAAAGAGGTCAAGGACCTACTTGAGGTAGGTCATATCAGGGAAGTAAACTACCCTGAATGGCTGGCCAATGTAGTCCTGGCTCCGAAGGGTGATACCTGGAGGATGTGCGTAGACTACACAGACCTCAACAAGGCATGCCCAATGGATTCTTATCCTCTCCCCAGCCCAGACCAAATGGTTGATGAAACTGCCGGGTGTGAGTTGCTCAGCTTTATGGATGCCTTCAAGGGGTATCATCAAATCTTCATGGCGTAGGATGATGAGGAGAAGACGGCCTTCCTCACTCCGGACGGCACATACTGTTACAAGGTGATGGCCTTTGGGTTGAAAAACTCAGGGGCAACTTACCAGAGAATGGTCAACAAATTGTTCAGGCCTTTGCTTGGACGGACCATGGAGGCCTATGTCGATGATATGCTGGTGAAGAGCAGGGCAAGCGACACACATGCTCAGGACCTGGAAAAATGCTTTGAAATTATGGCTAGGCATAATCTTAGACTTAACCCGAAGAAGTGCGTTTTTGCTGTGAGGACGGGGAAGTTCTTGGGCTTCATGGTCACGAAAAGGGGGATTGAGCCAAATCCTGAGAAGATCAAGGCCATTGTTGAGATGCAACCCCCGACATCGGTAAGAGATGTCCAGAGGTTGACATGGCGCTTGGCGGCCCTAAACCGATTTTTATCCAGGTCGGCAGAGAAGGCTTTGCCTTTCTTTAAAGTATTAAAGAAAGCCAACACCTTCCAATGGGATGATGAATGCGCTAGGGCATTCGAAGAGCTGAAGACGTACCTGACTTCGGATATTGTCTTGTCCAAGCCAGAAACAAAGGAGACCCTCTACCTCTACTTAGGGGTTACTCAAATGGCTGTTAGCTCGATCTTGATAAGGGATGATGGGGTCCAGAGGCCCATCTATTATGTAAGCAAGGCCTTAAATGGTGCAGAAAGTAGGTACACTCCTACGGAGAAGGCAGGGTACGCACTTTTTATAATAGCGAAGAAACTCACGTCGTACTTCCAAGCCCATCCCATTGTCGTATTGACCGACCTACCATTGGGCACAGTCATGAGAGACTCCACTTCATCGGGAAGGATGATCAAATGGGCCATGATGCTTACCCAATTCAACATTGAATATCGTCCGAGGACGGCGATAAAGGGACAGGTTGTGGCTGACTTTCTTGTGGAGATGACGGGTCACCAGGAGGAGGAACCGGCAAGGACGATCACAGAGCCTTGGTGGTCCATGTCAGTAGATGGAGCCGCTGGACCGAAAGGTTACGGTGGAGGTGTGGTATTCACAACTCCGGAAGGGTTCAAGGTATATCATGCCTTGATCTTTAACTTCAAACTCACAAATAATGAGGCGGAGTATGAGGCATTGATAGGGGGCCTGAGATTGGCCAAAACCCTACAAATCACATGCCTCAGGATCAAGTCCGATTCAAGCCTGGTGGTAGGCCACATCAATGGCAACATGGAGGCCAAAGGAGAGAAGATGCAGAAGTACAGAGACTTGGCAAGGGCATTATTGAAGGATCTGACTGAGTATGTGATGGAGCAAATCCCTAGGGGGGAAAACACGGATGCTGACTTGCTATCAAAATTGACGCAAGCAGCCCCGGAGCATGTGTCCAAGTTGGCCAGGATTGAGACGCTGGAAAAGGCTAGCATTGAAAGGCTTTCTGTGAGCCTGATAGAGGAGGATGGACAGCCCAATCTGACCCTGGTGGAACCTGATGATATTTGGATGGATGACTTGGTCAAGTATTACATGACCGGGCAATTCCCTGAGGATGAGGATAGGGTAAGAAAAGTAAAGTTGAGGGCTCCAAGATTCCAAATGCTTGATGGAAGGCTATACAAAAGGGCATTTGGCGGTCCGCTGCTGAGATGCTTGACCAGGGCGGAGGCGGAAAGAGTAATCGCCGAAGTTCATGAGGGTGTCTGTGCAGCCCACCAAATGTCCAGGACACTAGCACAAAGGATCATCTTGCTAGGTTATTTCTGGCCTACAATGAACCAAGATTGTGAGAAGTATGTGCAAAGGTGCAAGACTTGCCAGGTGTTCTACAAGTTTCCGGGAAGGCCTGCGACATATTACCACCCAATTTCCAATGTTATTCCATTCGCAAGGTTTGGGATGGACATCATTGGGGCCTTCCCTCAAGCTCAAGGGAGGAAGAAGTATGTCATGGTCGCTATCGACTACTTCACAAAATGGGTAGAGGCGGAGGCATATGCAACCATCACAACCAAGCAGTGCCAGCGCTTCGTCTGGAAGAATATAATCACCAGGTTCGGGTCTCCTCGAAACATTGTGACGGATAACGGGCCTCAATTTCGGAATCCAGGGTTCACCAAATACTTGGAGAACTTCGGGATTACTCACAACAAGGCTTCCGTGGCCTACCCGCAAGGGAATGGTCAAGTGGAGAATGCGAACCGCACAATAGTCGACGGGATTAAAAAGCGGTTGGGTGAGCCAGGAAAAAATTGGCTAGAGGAGTTACCACATATCATCTGGGCTTACCGAGTCACTTCGAGAAGGGCCACCGGGGAGACACCCTTCGTCCTTACATATGGATGTGAGGCCAGACTGCCCATCGAAGCTAAAATAATGACCTTTCGGGATAAGGTCTACGAAGAGAAAGGGAATGAGGAGGACCATTTGGCAGAGTTGAACTTGTTGGAGGAAAGGCGGATGGTTGCTGAGGCTAAAATGATAGAGTACCAGCAAGCGGCCAAGGCCTACCATGATAACAAGGTAGGGCCTCGTTATTTCCAAGTCGGTGATGAGGTCTTGAGACGAAGGGAGGCTAGCAAACCGAGTGATGGTGGAAAGCTTGCGAAGAAATGGGAAGGCCCATATAGGGTCAAGGAAATATTACGCCCTAGGACATACAAGTTAGAAACAACGGAAGGTCGAGAGTTGGAAAGGTGCTGGAATTCCCACCACCTTAGAAAATTCTACCGATAGACCAAATTGGCAGGGCATGTATTTGTAATACCCCTTCGACGATAAATAAGAGATTTCTTCAATACTTGTGTTGCTGGGTCAGTAATACTAAACTAATGTCTTGATGTAAGAGGCAAGGT